CCTTGGACTCCAGCTTGCACCGAAGCGGTGCAGAACGAAAGCCGCCGGCTCCAGGAGGACACGAGCAGGGTGGCAGTTGGCAGTGCAGAAACGCAGGAAAAGTCAAGGTTTGGAGCTAGTTCTAGTCGGTTCAGAAAGTGACGTTTGGCAGTCTGGGATACGGGCCGCGGGCCCAATCCGTCCTTCACTGCCATGGTGTTTTAGCCCTGCGACACGGTCCTTGGACTCCAGCTTGTACCGAAGCGGTGCAGAACGAAAGCCGGCTCCAGGAGGACACGAGCAGGGTGGCAGTTGGCAGTGCAGAAACGCAGGAAAAGTCAAGGTTTGGAGCTAGTTTCTAGTCGGTTCAGAAAGTGACGGCAGTCTGGGATACGGGCCGCGGGCACAATCCATCCTTCACTGCCGTGGTGTTTTAGCCATGCGACACGGTCCTTGGACTCCAGCTTGGACCGAAGCGGTGCAGAACGAAAGCCGGCTCCAGGAGGACACGACAGGGTGGCAGTTGGCAGTGCAGAAACGCAGGAAAAGTCAAGGTTTGGAGCTAGTTTCTAGTCGGTTCAGAAAGTGACGTTTGGCAGTCTGGGATACGGGCCGCGGGCCCAATCCGTGCTTCTCTGCCATGGTGTTTTAGCCCTGCGACACGGTCCTTGGACTCCAGCTTGGACGAAGCGGTGCAGAACGAAGGCCGGCTCCAGGAGGACACGAGCAGGGTGGCAGTTGGCAGTGCAGTGTCATCTCGGGTCTCTTTAGGATGCCATTTAAAGTTTCATACTGCGGTTACGAACGGGGGCTTCGGGTATGGGTCTTAAGTGCTAGAGCAACCCTTTAGGTCCCCAAGACACCTGGCCAATGACGAAAGCTCCTATTTCTTGAGCCATGAAAAAGTGTCAGAGCACATAGTTGTGCGTGTCATCCTGCAGGGGTCCATGCTGCTTGCATGTGCACAGTGCCAAACGCACATACAAATGGTTTGTTTAGGTCAGTTTCTGGTTTCTTTAGGGTTCATTTCATGCTTACGACACAGAGGCAGGCATGACCCTCCAGTGTCCAGGGGTCGGCGGCAGAGGGCGTAGCCCTTTAATATTATATATATATATTAATTAATTAATTCTAGACATATCATCAATATACACAGACACAGCATGACACAGCCATTCACTCTCATTTGACATCTGTTCCTGGTTGGCCTGGATTTCCTCACACTCTTGCCATTCCTGGACGGATCACATGGCGACTTTTCACCACCGATCTTTACAGGTTTTCACTTGGGATGGATCCAAAATCGGTGTTGAGTCACATAGACCCAAGTAATCCACATCTTGGTAATTCTTTTGCGGCATGCATGGTGACCTCCTAGAAACGTATTATATAACCGTGGAACAAGAAGAACCTAGGACCGAAAAAGCGAAACATATTAAGCCTAGCAGGATTAGCAGCAACAGCAGCGGATTGAGGAAGCAGCAGCACAAGGTACTTATCGTAGGAGTGAGACCCTCAAGATGCTGTTGCTGAGAAGGATCATGGCGATGTATGATTCTTGTATATTATTTTGTTGACAATGACGATGCTAATGTTGACTAAGGATGACTAAGGTGTTAATTGAAAGGATGACCCAGGCAAGAGCGCAGATGATAACAAATGCAAGACAGGATTCCGAGGACAATCATGAGCGTGAGGATGATGAGAATAAGGACAACAAGGTGACCAGGGCAGTACAAAATGGTGTTTGGGCCCTTTAAACTTTGGGCCAAGAATGATGACGGTGATGACAATACAGAGAGGGAAAGGGGGGCTGGAACATCACAATCCTGATGAGTTTTGAGCCTCTTGGTGTCCCGCCCAAAAGAAACCATTCAAGAATCCAAACATGGCCAAACGTTACTCACCAATGGCGTAAGCTGATGGTCGGAGGACGAGACGCAGGTGAGTTGCGAATGGCAACAGCGAAGTTCAATGAACTCATTGAAGTAGCAGCATGAATAAAGAATGTTTCAAATGGATTTCTTTTCAAGAATGGGAGAAGGAGGCACACGAGAAGGTAGGACATCCTGTTTCGATCCTGGCGACTGCTTGGTTTCCATTTGGGAGGTTCCTGCAGGGGGTTGAGGACTTTTTGGAGGATAAAATCAAATATTCCCACAGTCTGCTGGGAGAATGTCCTAGCTGTCCTAGCATTGCAGCACCTGCCCAGCTCAAATTCAATGCTGTCTTGTTCGACATAAATAGGAGCCTAACAACGAGGGCAGTTCTGCCAGCACACCCGACTAATCCATACACGGAACAAAACGGTGTTCCCACCTAGTAATTAAGGGTGCTAGAATTCAAAGTGGAAGCATTTGGTACGTGGTGTCCAGTTTGGCATGTTTCATCTCTCCCACTTTGCATGAGAAGTTTCTTGGCACCTGCCATGAAACAACCATCCGACTAGTTCAAATGTAATTCCAACAGCGTCAGCCTTATTTTTCTACAGCATAATGAATTCCCAGTTACATCCTAAGTTAGGAATACTAAGCTCTCATTCTCTCATATTCTCTCGACGAAGTGCCCTCTCTCTTCACCTCTGCAGGCTCCGTGGGTATCGTTGCCTCACCCTGTGATCCTGACGGCTGACCGGCTGACTCTCCATGGAGCATTGATCAGCGATTGATCAGCGATCAGCATGGACAATATGTACTGTTAAATGTACTGTAGACTCTCTGTCTCCGAAAGTCTGAGCGCGGCAAAAACTCAGTAAAGCGAAGATAGTGAAGACAAGATAAAGTAAACTGTCAACGAGTTTTCCATCGTCTGTATCATCACTTCTTCCGCACCCTGTGGACTCATGAACTCGTATCGCACAATCTAGCTCCTTTTTCCACTGTTTGATGTCTTGAAGCTTGCTGAAGTACAGGCCCCAAAAAAAAGCATGAAAAAACCTTACAGAAATGGATTCCTCTTCTGGTAAACCTTGACCAAGCACCAAGCCTGAGAGCATGCCTTGCTCCTGGCGAGAAATCACAGGCAAGTATGATGCGAAGAAACAAAAAACTAGACCAGGGCAGGTGTCTTAAGAAAAAGAGA